AGGCAAACGGTAAATAAAAAGTACCACAAACAATTTTAAATTATCAAGTTATTTTAGGGTTAATATGAAGAAAAAAAATTGTGTGTAACTTATTCTCTTGCGAGTTGATGATATATTATAAAATACTCAAAATTCATTAGTAATAATGCTTTATTATGAAATTATTTCATATTTTGTTTGCTCAGATGAAACAACTACACGTTTTTTCTTCAACAAAAGCACAAAATAACTCCTTTCTTTATGCATTACAAACCCAGGAACTGAAGTGTAAATATTTAAATCCAATTTATTGTTTTCCTTGTTTGCTTTTTATCATCTATACAATTGTGGTTCTATCGGATAATATTTGTTCCCGTTGATTATTATATAGTGACCTGAGAATTCTCTCTCTTCTTGTCCTAAATTACCAATGAAATGTAATAAGGACAACGGTGTTGTTCACTGGTGTAAACGTTTAAATTACACTAATACTGTTATTAGGGTAACTTGCATCATCGTTTGTAATCTTGTTTATATTTGTTTAGCTTTACATTAAGCTCAAAGTGAACGTTGAATGAAAACCATTTAAACCCCTTTATCCTTAGGAATTCCGATAATGGATCAGTAGGTTATTGTTCTGCCTTTTCTGCTTAAGTAATGATATTAAGACATTATATAGTTATTTTATTACAATATTTACAGTAAGTAAGAATATTAAAAAAACAATACTTACAGCAGAAGTTAGATAAACTGGTTTTCTAATCATGTAATCCACCAGAAGTTAGGCACTCTAAAAATCCTCCTAAGTTTAGCATACACCATATACACTACAGAAGTAGCAAACTCTTGATGCTTTACTAACACAAACCAGTTTCTGACTATAGAGGTTAAACAAACTATTAACTAATTTTAAAAACACAGACAAGACGCATTTAATAAACAAACAAACTAAGAAAATACTCCGCCGCAAAACAAAGGAAACCTAATCACTTGCACTATCCCATATACAAGAAATAATAACATACCTCTACCGGAAACATGGAAAAAACTAGAACGTTAATATAACCAAAACCTAGCATAATATAAATATAACCTTGACTTAACGACTGTATTCATTTTCACCCCTGGAACGAAAATTAAACACATGTGAAGAAAATTTTATAACGAACCCACCTGACCAGGAAACATTTACAAAATAAAGTGTAACAATTGTCCAGTCTTTTACATAGGTGAAACAGGACATAACTTGAACGTCAGGCTATAAAGAACACCGAAAACCCTCTTCCCAACTTCTGGAATATATGAGCAAAAACAACCACAGTTTTTCTGAACATAATATCACCATACTTTAACATGAATTTGACATTAACAGAAGAAAAGTTAAAAAAAAGCCTTATTTATAAAATCAAACAATCCCACGATTAACAAAAACCCAGACACATCTCTATATGTCTTTGATCGTTATTTCCACACACATTCCTTATCTTATACAAATATTTCGCACATTTCCAGATTTTCATATTTATTCTTTTTTTTTCTGTTCAGCCATAAATAGATAATCTGTCAATTCACGCGGATTGATATGCATATTCATTATCAAGTTTAAAATTTGAATACATTGTTAGATTCTTGAATGTTGATTTAAATACTAAAATCTTTTTCGCCATTAAAACTCGTGTACTTAAGAATGATCACATCAGTGATTGAAACATCGTACTTGCTTTAAGAATGTTCTTCCCTGCTATAAAAACTGTAACATGTAATAATATAACATTTATAACAAGTAAGTAAACTCCAAACGAAAATATTTTTAATATGTTTCGAATATTTTGTAATTTTAAATGTTGTGGATAAATTCAGATCACTAACAACAAGGACAAGGAGTTACACTTTTAAAAATATTAGTATAAAGGTTTGTTTGTTTGTTTTTGAATTTCGCGCAAAGCTACACGAGAGCTATCTGCGCTAGCCGTCCCTAATTTAGCA